AAAAAAAAAAAAAAAAAAAAAAAAAAAAAAAAAAAAAAAAAAATGGAAATTTGCCTACCCAAGGGGGCCAGCTAGCGATATGCAAACTACAGAAAAAAGGAAATACCATCGTAGTTGTTTTTTAACACCTTTCCCATTGCAGCATTTTCTGTTGGCGCCAAAAAAGGAAAAAAAAAAAAAAAAAAAAAAAACGTATGCAGCATCTTGCACACGTGTACTTCGCATTTTTTTTTTTTTTTTTAATATGGCGTGCGTGTAGTTAAGGATGTATTTGCATTTTTAGTTCATAGCGGGAGGTAGGGGGAGTGGGCCAGGCATGAATTATGGGAAAGCTTGTGTAACTTTAGACTCCAGGTTCGAAGGGGGAGGCAGCGAAGCGGCAAAAAAGGGATTTATTTTTTTAGGTGCCTGTTATGCGTTTATTTCAGCGTGTCGTTTTTTCACTCCGCCCGTTTACTTTTGCATTACGTTGGTTCGCTCTTCACCCGTGCTGGTTTATTTCTCTGTCCCTCCAATTTGTACCATTCCGAAGCGCCAACTGGTAGATCCATCGGAGGGGGGTTTACTTAATTTTTCACCCGCGTCGTTTAATCCCCCCCTCTGTGTGAGGAAATTAATTGTAGCATGATAGGTGTAGTATATAGGTTGTGGACTTTCCAAGCGCCGCAAGCCGCACGCAACTCTGAGTATGAAAAGGTGTCCTTCCATCCAAGGGTGTGTACTGAAGTGTTTAATTGATTTGTAGGCTTTCACCGACGAGCGTATTTCTCTTTAAAAAAAAAAAAAACTCCTAATGCTGCCTCTGTGTGCGTCCCATCATTTCCCATCGCAGAAGTGCGCGGTGTAGAAATGGACGTATAGAGGGTGTGTGTGTACCTGTGCGTTATTATTTTTTCACAAGGTGAAAGACGGTTTCTGCTTTTTTTTTGTTTTTTTCTTTTTTAACTCCTTTAAGGCCAATCCCAATAAGCGCTGTCACCTTTTTTTATAGAGCGGTATGGGACAAGCCGCTGGGTCGTTCAGTTGGGGCCTTTTCTGCTCTGCATGGAACATTTCGTAGTCTCGTACGAAGTGGGAATTGGTAGTGGCCCTTCCACCAAGTCGTTCCCGCTCCCGCTCCCGCTGCTGTTGATCATGATAGGTATCTTTTTCTTTCTCTGCGTATACTTCGTTTGAATGTCCTGCTTTTTTTTTTTTGACGAGGGATGAGGGGCCTTTCTCTTCGCACATGAAGTGCAACTGAAGGCTGGACAGCAGCAGGAGGCACGAAGTATACACGCTGTACTTGACCGTCACGCTCGCCAAATCAACATAACTGTCCATCTCATTAATCCCATGCGCCGCTACTTGGGCGTTCGCTTCCGAATTTGTCGTCCCCACATCCACTCCTTTATTTGTTTCCTTGTTTTGCTTCATATTGAGAAGTCGAGCAAAATAACATTGCGCGGCATTACTGATGAGATGTGTGACGAGTGTACCCCTTTTGCATGCTGTTTCGGTTACACCTGACCAACTCATCCAGTATTGCCTGCTACATTTAGCCGCTTCTCGTTTGACGAGGAATGGATCAGATGAGGATGGAAGAATCCTCTGGCGCGAGAGTCCTCTCTGCTTACACGAAGGCACAAAAAAAAATGCGACAATTATTTTTTTGTCTACAGGAAAATTGCGCGAAAAAAAAAAAAAAAAAAAAAAAAAAAAACCATCCCAGCAGTACTACGCATATCGGATACACCCCTTTTGGACCATCCGAGGCGTCCTATGCGCAGGTGTGTAAATGATCGAGAACACCGACAGAAGTGTCCACCCCTGAGTGAACAAATCCCCCCAACACACACACATGCCTTATATTGGTACGTGCAAACATGCGGCTTGATATACCTTCCATGTGTAAAATTGGCTGGACACGGAAAAAAATAAAAATGCCTATATTGCCATTTAAAAAATGGATACATAAAAACAGAAATTTTGCCAATGTAGCAGTAGCAAGGCACACCGGGGATACTTTAATAGTTCTAATGGAGAAAAATGATGCCATGGAAAAGAAGCAAAAGCAACACAAAAAAAACACGCGAATTCCACGCAGCACACAATCCCCCATAATGAACAAGCCAAAAAATGATAAAATAAAAAAAAAAAAAAAAAGAGCTTATTCTCCTGTAAGCGGCTTTTTCACCACGATGTGAGGTGAAGAATCTTCCTCCCGCATGCACCCACGGCGGTAAAAAAAAATATATAAATTTACTTTACAGGAGGAAGAGGTAACTGCATTGTAACCCCATGTTTTTGAATTTATTTGTTGTTCAATAGAATGTGCAAAAGAATAAAAAAGAATGGAGCTATACACCCCCGTGCGTCGGGGAACTCCCCTCAATGGCGACCCCTAGGCTTGTGCCATTGTTGCACTGCTGCGTTTGCACGTCACCTCCTCACCACATCACCGCTGAACGACCTTGACGGAAATGCTCAAGTAGTTCTTACTTTTATCTCCTACACCCTTTTCCTTTGAGAAGGTCCTCTCTCCTTCCCCCATCCATGACACATCGCACCCTGCATTTTCAACAGCATAAGTCGTCAGCGGCATGCCAACAAAAAAAAAAAAATTACAAACCACATTGGCAAAATTATTATTTTCACTATTAAAAAAAAAAAAAAAAAAGTCACACTCCTCATGTAGATGGTAGCCCCGAAAGCACAGCACAATTTTTTTTTTACATCCCTCTCCACACGGCCTCCACGCTTACAAGTTCGCTCCACAGAGTTGGCAAAAAATAAGTCGCCCCTATTTCAAGAAGAAACGTCGATTCATAAAAAAAGAAATAAATATGAAAAAATATCATCTGCAAAAATATATCTGTAAAAAAATATCTGCAAAAAAATATCTAAAAAAAATTTCTGTAAAAAAATATCTGCAAAAAAATATCTAAAAAAAATATCTGTAAAAAAAAATCTGAAAAAATCTGCAAAAAATCTACAAGCAAAATTACCAGCAAATCTGCAAAAAAGCTGCGTAAGCCGCCAGCGCTATTTTAAAACGCCCACCTATAAAAAGTGACTCTGAGAAAGCATAAACCTATTTTTTTTTTTTTTCCCCCCACTCCCATTTACAAAAGCCCAAAATGAACATCCTGGAAGAACCCATAAACTTCCTCAAGAAAGAGGAGCTTAAGAACATAGACCTAAGTCAGATGAACAAAAAGGAAAGGTACCAAATATGGAAAAGGATACCAAAATGTGAATTACATTGCCATCTGGACCTCTGCTTCTCCTCAGATTTCTTCCTTAGCTGTGTTCGAAAATATAATTTACAACCCAATTTATCTGATGAGGAAGTTCTAGATTATTATTTATTTGCTAAAGGAGGAAAGTCATTAGGAGAGTTTATAGAAAAGGCAATAAGAGTGGCGGACATATTTCAGGATTATGAAATGATTGCAGATTTGGCCAAGCATGCTGTGTTTAACAAATACAAAGAAGGAGTTGTGTTGATGGAGTTCCGATACTCTCCAACCTTTGTTGCTTTTAAACACAACCTGGACATTGATCTCATTCACCAAGCTATCGTTAAGGGCATAACAGAAGTCGTAGAGTTGTTAGATTATAAAATTCATGTGACGCTGTTGTGTATTGGAGACACAGGTCATAGTGCATCAGACATTAAAGCATCTGCTGATTTTTGCTTAAAATATAAGGCAGATTTTGTAGGGTTCGATCATGGAGGACGTGAAGTGGATTTAAAACCGTATAAAGACGTTTACGATTATGTGAAAGAAAATGGGATGCATCTTACTGTTCACGCAGGGGAAGATGTTACCCTCCCAAATTTAAACACGCTGTACACAGCTATACAAGTACTTAAGGTGGAAAGAATTGGACATGGAATTAGGGTTGTTGAATCGCAAGAACTAATCGATATGGTTAAGGAGAAAAATATTTTACTTGAAGTTTGCCCCATTTCAAATGTGCTGCTGAATAATGCCAAGTCCATGGATACGCACCCTATTAGAAAATTGTACGATGCTGGAGTGAAGGTCTCCGTCAACTCGGACGATCCAGGAATGTTCCTCACCAACATCAATGACGATTACGAGCAGTTGTACACCCACTTGAATTTTACCCTCGAAGATTTTATGAAGATGAATGAATGGGCCTTGGAGAAGTCCTTCATGGATTCAAACGTAAAGGACAAAATAAGGAACCTCTACTTTTAGGTATCTCAAATGGGAGCGGGGGAAGGGGGAGTGTTATGAACCTGTGACTGAGAGAGTAGAGGAATGACAGTGCCCGCTTGGAGAGTTACCCATTCAAGTGAACAACGCTCTGCTTTGACCTCACCTCTGTGGTGTGTCCCTCTTTAAATCTTTCAACTCCACCCCCCCTTGTCCTTTTTTTTATTTTCCACAATAACGTTGCATATATTCATCGCACGTAGTGTTTAAAAAAGCGCGCAACCGTTAGTTTCTCTGTGTGTGTGTGTGTATGTATGTTGTGTACGCTTTTAAAAAAAGAACATTTTTAGCCCGTTTAAAAACGGAAACTACCTCTGCTGTTTTTACCTTCTGCGTTTACGACAAATGGATGAAGAAACAGCAGCACGGGTGCGCCCAAGCATGTTAAACGTGTTAAGCGTGTTAAATGGGTTGAACGAATGTTGCTCGAGCACTATTGGCCAATGAATAAACGAAAAAAAAAAAAAAAAAAAAAAAAAAAAAAACAAGCATAAAGTCGACAAAGTTATTTTTTGTCTGCTTCTACGTATGAGGCACGTACCACCCACAGTTGCCCTTTCTGTGCGAGCAGTGGTATTCCCCCATTTGTTTTGCGAAAAAGCCCCCAATCTTTGCAGCATTGGGGCTTTTTTTTTTTTTTTATTTTTTTATAATGCAACGTTGCGTTAGCGCAGCATGCACAGTCAGGTACTTTTTAAGGCAAATTGGTTAAAATGGCTAGTTGGTTACGTTTTTTTTATTTTATTTTATTTTTTTTTCAAAAAGATTGAACGGTCAGATGAAATGGAACATTTTTTTTTCCATTTTAGCTAGTTGTGTGGAACTATAAAACAGATTGGGTATCTTCCCCCCGTCAGGCTTTTCACGGTCTATTCGAAATCATAGTTGGGCTGAATTTCCTCCATGAAAAAGTCACTGGTCTTCGTTTCCCGCTTCTTCGTTGCTCCTGCGTGCGGGGCATCGGCTTCGTTGCCATGGCCTGCGACGCTGATCCTGTGGGGCCTGCCTGTCCTGTCCACTTTTGCGTCCATTTTTGGACTACTACTTGAACCATTTTTTTTGCTATTTCTTGCCCCATTTTTAGTCGCATTTTTTGCGCCATTTTCCCCCCTGAGCTTTGCTTTCATGTCCGCTCTGCGGTTCCTCGTGCGCAGCAAGTGCTGGAGCTCCGCCCTGTCCTGGTGCTGTCGGCGCGCGCTGGACAAATTGACGCCCCCAGAGAGGTGCCTATAGTATTTGAGCGCGCCGCCCGACGAGCCATGATTTCGTTTTTTGTACTTTCTATTTCTGAAGAGGAAGGAGAATTTCAGCTTATCGTGAAAGAAGTACTTGTACAAAAGGAATGATAAAATAATCAGCAAGAGAGGGATGACCGTGCAACATATAATGAACCAATGGTTGCCAGCACTTTGCGCATAGGCGTACACGTTGTAATTTTTCTCCACCATATCTTCAGGGTACATCCTTTTGGAAAATAAAATGTGTGCATCCCAACCAGTCAGGTAATGCACCCTATGCTCAAAGAGGGAGAACATCTTAACCGCTGAATAAATATTCTTTCTACTATTTAGTGGCATGGAGCTATAATTGTGAAAAGCTATTTGGGTTAGTTTATATCCCTGGTGTATTAATTTTTCAATGGCCTGTATTTCCCTTTTGTTAATTCTGGAACCAAAATGCTTCGTCCTCCTTTTAAGGTTATTTATTGGGTCATGATAGGACTCCCCCAGGACTTCGATTAGTTCCTTGTTAATCTTTTTTCCATCATTATACGAAAATCCTGTTAGTGAATTTGAGTAGACTGGCTTGGTTAGCAGGTCGACGATGACGTTCTTCATGAGTGGGTATTTATTTTCGGGTAGGATTTTCACCAGCATGATGAAGAAGATAGTTTGGTCGTCCATCAGCTCCAGTTGTGTCCTTTTGAATTCTTCGATTTGTTTTCTGTGTTCATTCGGGGGTGCAGCACTGAGGTGGTTCCTCCATGGGACACGTCTCAAGTGACCTTCTTGTGGGACACCTCTTAAGTGACCACTTGGCGGGGTTCTGGGAAACTTGCCGCCCTTAGCGATGGCCAGGAAGTTCTTCACCACGCCCTCATTCTTCCCATCCTCCTCATTCTGCCCATCCGGCACGTCCGTTGCATCCGCCGCATAGATCAACACATCGTTTGCATTTTTTCCCTCTGCGTAAAAGACCTTTTTCATGAGCATCACTGCCTTGGAGAAGTAGTTGTCGCCAAGGTGCAAGTAGGAGTTGAGGACAAGCTCGAATTCTATCAGGTTGAGCAAATTTTCAATGGGAAAGGGATGACCATTCTGGGGTACCTCTCCTCCCGCCGGGGTCCCCATCTCCACCTGCAGAAATAAGTTGCTCCCTGTTAACATCGAAATGAATTGGTCCAAAGAATCTTCTGTAAAAAACAAACCAAAATCTCTCACGCGGAAAATTTCACCATTTGTATTGTCTAGGTACAAATAACCATTGATTGTAACGGAGATCAAATTTTCCAACTCCAATTTTATTTCACTTTCTCCATTTCGAATGAAGAAGCTATTATGTTCTAAATACGTCTTATACTTTTGTATGGATTTTTTAATCACCTCTAGCACAGCGTCATTCATTACATGTGTGAATTTTTCCTGTCCATGGGTTGTTAAAATGTGTACCAATTTTGTGGCATTTTTTATGTGGAAAATAATAACATGGCTTCTGACATTCTTTCCAGCAGAAATGGTTTCCAAGTTGTTCAGGTATATTCGATGTTCTCTCACGAACCCTACATCTTTCGTAAGATTTATCAATTGCAGATTACTTTGTTCATTGCAATTTTGTATTTGTAGCATGTTTGTAAATAAATGTTTCGTGTGTAGTGCGTAGTTTAAGGCATACATAAGGCAACTCCTGCATGTTACTGGGAGAGTCTTTTTTGGGAGACCATTCAGTACAGACAGGGCACAGCTCTGCGTGATGAGCCCTCTGCAACCATCTTCCTCCCTCCAACATTCATTGGTGATTAATTCCATCCACGTGAAGTATCTTTCGCTCCCGCTTTTTATGTCATTCAGGAGGCTGTTCAGCTGAAGGGGGGGGGGAAAAAAAACGTGAGAGCGGTGTTAACGGAAAATAGCGTGGGCGTGAGATGGACACACATGCGCTGGTCTAAATTGGGCACAAAAATAAAATGATCTCTTCAGATGAATATACGCATGCTGATAAAGGGTCTCACCACCGTTTTGAAGCAGCACATGTGGGGAGGCGTGGTGTATGTCCCCCAAAAGTAGTCCCCCCAATGGTGCATCATTTTTTATTGGGGAGTTATGGAAAACGCTGCGCTTCGCTTATGTCCCCTTTGAGCATCTGGGCAGAGTCGGTGAAGCGAATTAGACACTCTGCGTAAGACTTACCCCCGTGATGACATGGCGGACATCCTGGACGGTGTACCCCCTTTGTTCCTCCGCCCGTTTTTCTGTGTCCACCTCTTTGGTGAAAAGATATATAGCTCCATCAATCACTTTTTCATATTTTTCCTTTTTTGAAAAAGGCCCCAGGAAATGTGGGACTTCAAGCTGAACAAGCAGGAGGAAGGCCACCAGGACGTTGTCATTCAGGCCGGCCAGGCCGGCTCGGTTGTTCTGGGCGCCCCGCACGCGGGTCTGCAGGAAAAAAAAAAAAAAAAAAAAAAAAACATGTATATATTTATATGTATACACATTCGAGCGGTCTTCCCCTGCGTCGAATGGGTGTGCCTCAAACGAAAGCGGACTCTGTAGCCCAGGTAACGTGGGAGAGAGTGGGAAAAGCTGCAACACCCTGAAACGGTTTACATTAAAGGGATGCTTCCACTTCAGCCCACTCTTTGTCCATGCGCCTTACTCGGTTGAGACACGTCAGTACGAAATACAAAACCGCAACATATTGGAGCAGGCAGTGTGTCTTCATCCTTTTTTTTTTTTTTTTTTTCAAGCCTAAGGAGCGAAGCCTTTAATTGCGCTCACGCGGCAGTCATGCGACAGCGAAGGGACAGAAAAGGGGCACTCACGTGACATAGAGGCAGTCATGTTTTTTTTTTTTTTTTTTCCCCCCTTTTTGTCCATTCACTTGGGGAAAGAAAAACCATTTGCAGTGTTCCATGCCCATTGATTTGGGGGTGTAGCAACTGGGTCCAGTGACAACATAATCGTCGCGCACAATGACACCATTTGTATATGAACGTTATATGTGTATAACACTTCAGCCTCTTTTATATTTTAAGCTCTATGTGTAACGGCTCCATTTCATTGCTTCCGCCCAATGCGAGAGGCTTGTAACTGCATTTTGCGCTGCGCGTCTGCCCATGTCCACTGCCCACAGCGCATTTTTTCTCCCGTGAGAATTTGCATGTAGAACAATCCTCGCGCGTTTAACTTGCAGACGCACATAAAGTTTTTGATCCCCAAATGTGTCTTAAAAGTATGGGAAAAAAAAATGTAAGGAAAAAAAAAAAAAAAAAAACAATTTCCCAATTGGTTATGCAAAGTAGGGAAATTTATTCTTGTCACTTTTGTCCAGTTATGTAGACTCCTATTTTTTTTTTTTTTTTTTTTTTTTTTT